CATTGGGCTCTCTGCTCGGCAGGGGCCCTGCTTCCCCCTCTTTCTCTGCCTGCCTCTCTGCCTACTTGTGATCTCTGTCTGTCCAATAAATAAATAAAATATTAAAAAAAAAAAAAAAGAAATGGGCAGAAGACATGAACAGACATTTCTGCAAAGACAACATCCAGATGGCCAACAGACACATGAAAAACTGCTCCACATCACTCGGCATCAGGGAAATACAAATCAAAACCACAATGAGATACCACCTTACACCAGTCAGAATGGCTAAAATTAACAAGTCAGGAAATGACAGATGCTGGCAAGGATGCAGAGAAAGGGGAACTCTCCTACACTATTGGTGGGAATGGAAGCTGGTGCAACCACTCTGGAAAACAGCATGGAGGTTCCTCAAAAAGTTGAAAATAGAGCTACCTTACAACCCAGCAATTGCACTACTGGGTATTTACCCTAAAGATACAAACGTAGTGATCCGAAGGGGCATGTGCACCTGAATGTTTATGGCAGCAAGGTCCACAATAGCCAAACTATGGAAAGAACCTAGATGTCCATCAACAGATGAATGGATAAAGAAGATGTGGTATATATATACAATAGAATACTATGCAGCCATCAAAATAAATGAAATCTTTCCATTTGTGATGACATGGATGGAACTAGAGGGTATTACGCTTAGCAAAGTAAGTCAATCAGAGAAAGACAACTATCATATGATACGATATGAGGAAGTAGAGATGTAACGTTGGGGGTTTGAGGGGGTAGGAAAAGAATAAATGAAACAAGATGGGATTGGGAGGGAGACAAACCATAAGAGACTCTTAATGTCACAAAACAAACTGAGGGGGGCGGGGGGGGTAGGAAGGGAGGGAGAGGGTGGTGGGGTTATGGACATTGGGGAGGATATGTGCTATGGTGAGTGCTGTGAAGTGTGTAAACCTGGCGATTCACATACCTGTACCCCTGGGGCTAATAATACATTATATGTTTATTAAAAATTTTTTTAAAAAGATAAAACAAAAAAAATGGGCAGAAGACTTGAAAAGCCCATTGTCAAAGATTACACACAGATGCCCAACAGACAGAAGAAAAGGTGCTCAACATCATTAATTAACCATCAGGAAAATGAAAATATGAGATATTACCTCAAACCTGTTAGAATAGCAATTATCAAAAAGACAAAAAAGAAAAAAGGACGAAAAAATAACAAGTGTTGGAGAGGATGCAAAGTGTAGAGAGGTTGTGGAGAAAAGGGAACTTGCATGCACTGTTGCTGGGAATGTAAATTGGTGCAGCTACTTATGGAAAACAATATGGAAGAGTCTTAAAAAATTAAAAGTAGAATTACAATCCAGTAATTCCAGTTCCGGGCATTCATCTGAAGAGAATGAAAACACCAAATCAAAGAAATATATGCACCCCTATAATCATTGCAGTATTATTTACAACAGTCAAGATATGGACACAACCCAAGTGTCCATCAACTGATGAATGGGTAAAGATGTGGCAAATATATACAATGAAGTATTACACAGCCACAAAGAACGAAATCTTGCCATTCTCGACAGCATGGATGGACCTAGTATTATGGTATTATGCTAAGTGAACTAAGTCATAGAGAAGGACAAATATATACAACTTCTCCTGTATGTGGAATCTAAATAACAAAACAAAATAGAAACTGACTCATAGGTATAGGAAACAAACTGTTAGTTACCAGAGGGGGGAGGGGTTGGGGAACAGAAGGAAGAGGATTAAGAGGCACAAACTTCCAGTTATAAAATAAATAAGTCATGGGGAGGTGAAGCACTGCGTAGGTTATATAGTCAATAATATTGTAGTAACTTTGTAATGGTGACCATGGCAACCAGACTTCTCCTGTGGATTTCTTAGTGTATAAAAATATCGAATCAGTATCACGTGCACCTGAAACTAACTAGATATTGGATGTCAAGTATAGTTCCATTAAAAAGCAGAAACAAAACTCCTCACAGCAAATTTTCTCTCCACCCTCTCCCCACACCTCGAAGCCTTATTTTCCCAGTCTCTTCCTCACCCACCCACAGCCTGCCTGCCTTCCGTCCCATTTCCTCTCTACTCTTCCCAAACCCCGTTTTTCACCCTTCTGCAGGCTCCAATCCCTCTAGCCTCAGAATTCCCAAAGCTGTTCCTTTCTCGGACCCCGACTTGACTTCCACCGCCTCCCTTCTCACGCGTCCAGGCCTCTCACCCCTCCTCCAACACCCTCTCACGCCCCCACATCCCACCTGCACTCTCCGCCGCTTCAGCGCCGCAGCGTCCAGCCACACACCGCAGGCCTCTTCCTCATGGCCTCTCCGCCTCATGGCCGCTGCCGACACCCAGCCAGCCGGACACCAGGCTCCGGCTCCAGCTGCCTCACAGAATGGCTCTAACGGCCTCCACCGACGTTCGGATCTCGCGCCAACGCCGGGGGCGGAGCTACGCCGCAGCCGCCGACGCAGGTACCGCCCCAGCATCAGCCCCGCCCCAGCATCAGCCCCGCCCCAGCATCAGCCCCGCCCCGGCCCTAGCACCGCCCCGGCCCTAGCACCGCCCCTTTCTCTCCTCCCGGGGCCTCACAGGGTAGTCTGGTGGGTGGAGCTCCTTTCGGTTTACTAAGGCCTTCGCGCCCCTTGTGATCTTTTAATTCGAGTTGCCTTCCCGCGGCTGGGCTGCTTGAACGTGTTCGCGACATTGCGCAAGGAATATGCATGTCTTTTCGCTAAATTAGTTGCCCTTTCTTGCGGTAAACATAACAACCCCAGGCTCAGGGTTTTCCAGTCTCAACAGCTGCATCCTCCCGGTCATCCCAAAAGGAAGGGTGGAGCCGAGGCTGCGGTCTGCCCGCTCCAAAGCCGGTGTCCCCGGCACTACCTTAAGTGGTGACCACACACTCGAGTTTATGAATTACTTCTGAAATTCAAAAATAAATAAATAAAAAATAAATCCAAGCATAACTATGAAACCGCATGGGAAAGGATCTAGAAAACGTTAAAAAGGGGGCGCCTGGGTGGTTCAATGGGTTAAGCCTCTGCCTTTTGCTCAGGTCATGATCTCAGGGTCTTGGGATGGAGCCCTGCATTGAGCTCTCTGCTCAGCAGGGAGCCTGCTTTTCCCTCTCTCTCTCTGCCTACTTGTGATCTCTGTCAAATAAATAAATAAATATATCTTTATTTTTAAAGGTGGGGGGGGTGGTCCTGGGTGGCTCAGCGGGTAAGAGTCTGCCTTCTGCTGGGTCATGATCCCAGGGTCCTGGGATGGAGCCCCAGCTCCAACTCCCTGCTCAGCGGGGGAGTCTGTGTCTCCCTCCCTCTCTGCCCCTCCCCCCACTAGTTCTCACTCTCTCTCTCTCTCAAATAAATAAAAATTTTTTTTAAAAGTGGGGTGGGGGCGCCTGGGTGGCTCAGTGGGTTAAAGCCTCTGCCTTCGGCTCAGGTCATGATCTCAGGGTCCTGCAATTGAGCCCAGCACTGGGCTCTCTGCTCGCCAGGGAGCCTGCTTCCCCCTCTCTCTCTGCCTGCCTCTCTGCCTACTTGTGATCTCTGTCAAATAAATAAATAAAAATCTTTAAAAAAAAAAAAAAAAAGAGGGGTGGGGTGCCTGGGTGGCTCATTGGGTTAAGTGTCTGCCTTTAGCTCAGGTCATGATCTCTGGGTCCTGGGATCCAGCCCTGTGTTGGGAATCCCTGCTCAGCAGGGAGCTTACTTCTTTCTCTCCCCCTGCAACTCCCCCTGCTTGTGCTCTCACTCAGTCAAAATCTTTTTTGAAAAAATGAAACTAAAAAGGTAAAAAATGAAAGCTAAAAATATGGAGTCCCAGGCTTGTCAGCTTCAGAACTATCTCCTAGTCCTGCCTTCACAGCTTAAGGGTGACCCTGAGTTTTAAAGAGGATCGAGTGAGGTAATATTTGTGAAAGCACTTTGCAGATTGTGAAAGTTCCTCAGAAATTCAGAAGTGCTGGCATCCAGCTCATTCTTCCATCCCTAACCAGTCCCCATAGACATTCTTTATATGTTTATAAATCATATACATATATATGTAAACAGGATCTTTTTCAATTTTATTTTATTTTATTTATTTGACAGAGATAGACACATGGGCAGGGGGAACACAATCAGGGGGAGTGGGAGAGGAAGAAACAGGATTTCCACTGAGCAGAGAGCCGGGTGAGGGGCTGGATCCCAGGACCAAGGGACCATGACCTGAGCCAAAGGTAGACTCTTAACGACTGAGCCATCCAGGAGCCCCTAAACAGGATCTTTTTAAAAAAAGATTTATTTTAGAGAGAGAGAGAGAGTGGGGAAGGGGCTGAGGGAGAATCTCAAGCAGACTCCCCGCTGAGCATGGAGTCCCATGTAGTGCAGAATCTCACAACCCTGAGATCATGACCTGAGCCAAAATCAAGAGTCCAGGTGGCTCAGTCGGTTAAGTGGCTGCCTTTGGCTCAGGTCATGATCCCGGGGTCCTGGGATTGAGCCCCGCATGGGGCTCCCTGCTCAGCCGAGAGCCTGTCTCCCTCTGTCTGCAGCTCTGCCTGCTTGTGCTCTCTCTGTCAAATAAATAAAATCTAAAAAAAAAAAAAAAAAAAAAAAATCAAGAGTCCAACATGTTAACTGACTGAGCCATGCAGGCACCCCTATAAACAAGATACTTAGGTTTGGGGTTTTTTTTTTTTTATCAGTACTTCCTAATTTTCCTTCACTGTGCTGCAGAAAACTATTATAAACTGTATTGTAGAAAAGCAGTATTATAAAAGTTAACATAGAAAATCCTTCCTGATTTTGATTGAAGGAAAGACCAAAAAGTGAAATCTTTATCAAATTATTAAGTGGGGTTATATAAAACTTTACACATTCCTTTAACTTCTAAAACTTATTTAGTAATAAAACTGCCCCCCCTTCCCTGCAAAAAAGAAAAAGTTCATATATATAGGGTATAAGGCCCCCAATCACCCCTAGGCAAAGAAAAAAGCATCCACTGCCTTCCTCTTCCCTGTTCCCACCCCTGGGGGCCCCAGCCACTCCCTGAAAAACCTCTTCAACATGCTGAGCAGGTCCATGGGGGCCCCAGGGCCCCGTTCCCAAGACAGGAGGCAAAAAGCAAAGAGGCTGCTGTTATTAGTCACTTTATTGAATCCAGGACATATCAGAGTCCAGATCGCCCCTACCTCCAGCCCCACTGAACTCCCTTCAGTACCTCTTTGGCCTCTGTAGAGGGTTTACCCCCTGCCTGGAATGCCCTCCTTCATCTGCAAACTCCTATTCACCCCTCCCAACCTAAGACCTTGAGGGCAGCGGGCACCAATTATTCCTCCCCGTGCTTCCCCTGACAGGTCACTCCCATATTAAAGCTCTCATCATCCTGCATGGATCCACAGGACCCAGCCGGTAGCCAGAAAACACTGAATGGATAACTGAATCATGAACAAGGAAACCAGGAGAAAGGCTGGGAACAGGATGTGTGGGTCACAGAGCTAAGAAAGACTGGGGCTCACTGTATGGGAGGGTGACCGAGGAGGTATGGGCCCTGGGTGGGATCCATTTCTACCTGCCACAATCTTCTACCTTTGGAGACTCCGTAGAACTCCAAAGCTCCAGGCCGGAGCTCAAGGAATGATAAGATCCTACATATATTCGGGGCCTGTCCCTTCCCTATCCACCAATGAAATCTGTCTCTGGCCTAAATTCTATCTTCACCCCCCATAGATAATCTGGAAGCTCCCAACCGGGGTCCTGGCCCCAGCTGACCCCCGATCCTCACCCCTAGTGAGAGGCAATGGAAAGAGGCAAGCCTGGTTGGCCCTCATCTTTATCTCTTTTCCTCTCCCAGGGCAAGGGGCTGGGGTAGGCCCAGGAGTGGACCCCCAGCTGCTCCTGGCCAATCCCCAAATCTAAGGACAGGCCAGTACCGCCTTTGGCAGCTGAAGCGTTCACAGAAAGTCATCGCAGGCCGGACACAAACAACTTTACCAGGCCTTATTCCCCTCTGGAGCCAAGCCCTGACCCCGGGGCTCCCACTCTACCTCCCTCCCTACCAGCGGCCATCCCCTCCTTCCCCCTCACTGGGTCTTCCGGTCAAGTTTGCGCCGTACCAGCTGGCTCAGGAGGAAGGCGGTCAGCACACTGCTGCCCACAGTGAGCAGGAAGAGGCCAGAGAAATTGTGGGGCCAGCGGGTGTGCAGAGGCTCATAGATGGGCCGCCGGGCCTCATAGTCCAGGGCCACAGCCTCCAGCTGAGCCAGCGTGCACAGCACCAAGAACACATGGAAGAGCTGGTGGCCTTGGCCGAAGAGGTGGCAGCTGCCCGGAAACCAGCGCTCCGGCATGAAGGCTGAGAAGAAAGCCGCGGCCAGCAGGAAGAAGACCACTTGGCACTTGTGGTAGAGAAGAGCGGGGTCATCTGCGGTCCGGTCGGGGGACACCAGGATGCGGTGCACCACGGGGCTGATGTCCAGCGCGTAGGCCAGCGCCGACGGCACCTCCTGGCAGGTGCGGCCCAGCAGGCCGGGCTTCTGGCTGTACTTGTTGTAGCAGGAGCCGGTGCAAGAAAGCCAGGCGAGAAAGGCGGCCGTGGGCAGGAAGATGGCCTGCACCCGGGCATGCCAGGCAGGCTCGATGGCGTAGTAGAAGTGCGCCAGGGCGCTGCCGAACTGGTACACGGCCACGCCCACGTAGTCCAGGAAGAAGAAGCTGTAGTGCCAGAACTCGGACTTGGCCTGCAGGAGGTGAGCCAAGGCGCTGAGAGACAGGTAGGTGAAGGAGGCAAGGATAATGATGAAGAGGGGCAGGGCGTGGGTGTCTCCCCAGAAGTCCACGGTCCCCACAAAGATGGCCAGCCGCAGCAGCAGCACTAGCGCCGCCAGCAGGTGGGTCCAGACGTTCACCGCCTCATTGTGCTGCTGGAACAGCGTGCGGAAGTAGAAGCGCCACGTCTGATGCAGCGGCCGGTAACCCACGTAGATGTACGGCTTCCAGAAGAGGGGCGGCACCTCGGCTCGGTCCACCGTGAAGAGGGTCTCTGGCTGCCCCGATGGCCGCGGCTCCCGGTGGGCCTGCCGCAAAGTGGGCAGGAGATGGCTGAGCTTCTGGGCCACCATCGTGGCCATGGCTGTGGACCAGGGGCAAACTGGGAGAGAGGCCAGAGCAGAGTCAGGGCACCCTGGCCCGCCATGAGCAGCAGCTAGGAGGCTCTGGAGCGCGGTTTTTACTCCCTCCTTCCCTCCCCCTTTATCCCTACCCTGAGTTTCTGAAGAGAGGAGTCATCCTAAGGAAGATCATGGCTCTGCCCCTATGACTGTTCTGGGCCCTGATGTATCCCAAGTGCCTAGAACGGTGCCTGGTGTGCCATATGGGGCTCAGTCAATGCTTGAGAGATGAATGGAGGTGGCTCACTACTTCAGCCACTTCCATTCCAGTCCAGCTCCACACAGCAGCCCTTCTGCTTTCTCCTGTGTTCATGATGACATCTGTGCTCACCTGCCGGTGACAGTGACCTTGCTAACAACAGACCTACAGTCTCTTCCTTTAGCCCCTTCAGAGTGGCAGGTCTCCCACGGACCCTCCGTCAACTTCCATGATCTGGTCCCTTTTCCTGTCCTGTTGCTCAGCCACAGTGTACTTCCAACCCAGCCACAGCCTCACCACACCCCTGAGCCTGTTTCATGTGTCCAGAGGTTTACACAAGCTGTTCCCTCTGCCTGAGTTGTCTTCCTCATCTTGCCTACCTGGTAAACTCCTACTCATTCCTCAAAACCCATTTCTTCTGTGATACTTTCCCTGGCCCCCAGATCTCTGATGATGACCTCTCTACTTGAGTGTTTACCATAAGATACCATAAAATCTTTTGACCATTTTAACATTTCTCATGGGCATTAAAATCATTAATGTGAGCTCATGAAGGGTAGGCAGTTAGTCTCATTGTTTTGTGAACCTGTGGGGCTTTGGAGGTAGCTGACACTCAGTATTTGTTGAATCAAAGAGCGTAACAGCATCCTGGTAACACTTCATACCCTTAGTCCCCAACTCAAAAAGCCACTTTTTCCCCCTGAAAGTCCCCAGTTAAAAACTGATTCTATAGGGATGCCTGGGTGGCTCAGTCAGTTAAGCATCTGCCTTTGGCTCAAGTCATGATCCCAGGGTCCCGGGTTTGAGTCCTGCATTGGGCTCCTCACTCAGCAGGGAGCCTGCTTCTCCCTCTGCCTGCCACTCCCGCTGCTTGTGCTCTCTCCCTCTCTCCCTCTCTGACAAATGAAAAAATAAAAACTTTTTTTTAAAAAAACCTGATTCCCTTTCCCTCAGCCATAGCTCCACTCAAAAGGTCCTCCTCCTCCAGCCTTTCCACTCCCACCCATGGTTGCTAATTCCAAAGGGATCAAATCTAACCCTTCACCCTGCCATTCAAGACCCTGCTCCTACCCTCATTTCCCACCTAACCCAAATAGCACACCCTGTGCCAACTTCCTTTCCCTCCACTAAAATCCATCAGGGCCAGTTCTACCTACCACCTCCAGGGGGCCTCCTTACTTCACCCCCCCCACCGCCCCTCCCCATCTACTACCCCTGTATCGGTTATATAATATACCATATAAAACATATTCACTCTTCATCTGGTCATTTAGCAAACAATTACTGAGTCCCTTCTCTGCCTCAGGTCCTGTGCTGGGTCCCAGGGAGGGCAGAGAGGAAAAAGATCTAATCCCTGCCCCCTGGGAACTTCACGGTATGTGGAGATTATCAAAAGGAAAACAAATCATAGCAAATGCTTATACAGTACCCGCTTTGTGCCAGACACTGTTTTAAATACTTTATGTGTAATTGCCTCATTGATACTTCATAACATCCTGTAAGTAGGTACTATCATTAGTACCATTTTGCAGATAAGGAACTGAGGCAAGGAGACATGAAGGACCCTGCCCACCCAACTAGCTAGGAGATGGCAGAGGCATGGTCTGGACTCAATTTGCAATCTCAACCACTACCCTGAACTGCCCTTTGCAAGACAAGGTGGCAAGTGTCATTAATCATTTCATAGTTAAATATTCTCTATATAGTTTGACCTGAAACCAGTTGCTTAATTCAGGCTTATCTTCATTCACTGTGTCAGTCATTAAGTCAAATATCTACTGAAACACTAGCACCTGCCCCACAACTCCCATCCCTCTGACGAGCTTATTGGACTTAGCACCCTAGTCTTCTGTCCGTCTTTCATCACATATTTTTTTTTTTATTTTATTTTTTATAAACATATATTTTTATCCCCAGGGGTACAGGTCCGTGAATCGCCAGGTTTACACACTTCACAGCACTCATCATAGCACATACCCTCCCCAATGTCCATAATCCCACCCCCCCAACCCCCCTCCCCCCATTAACCCTCAGTTTGTTTTGTGAGATTAAGAGTCACTTATGGTTTGTCTCCCTCCCAATCCCATCTTGTTTCATTTACTCTTCTCCTACCCCCTTAACCCCCCATGTTGCATCTCCTCTCCCTCATATCAGGGAGATCATACTTTCATCACATATTTATTGCAACTACCTTTGCACCAGTCGTTGTAAGAGGCAAGAAGATCCAGGTAGGATAAAGCTCTCATGTTTCTGCCACCAACAGCATCTTGATCACTCCCCAAAGCTCCCCAATAATTTACACACAGTCCAATAAATGCAGGGAGCTTGCTATGCGAAGGCAGTATCAAGACAAGCCCCCAACCACCCTCCTCCTCACCCTAGCCTGACCTGCATCCCTAAGTGCCCCCCGCATGACACGTCTCAAGTCAGCTCTGGTCTCTGGACTCTCCTAGTCCAGTGAGGAGGCAGGAGTTAAACTACTCGCTACAATACTGCACAAGGGGTACTTCTGACAGGGGAGCGCAGGACTCTCCCACTTCCCATTCCCCAGACACCATGGCACAGGTCAGGTTTAGGAAGCTGACCTTGCTGGCCGCTTCCATCCATGAGAACCACCCCCACCCCCACCCCACGCTGGCCTGCCCTGCTAGTAGAGGAGCCAGCACTGGAGGTGGGCCTCCTCCCCAAGAGGCTGGGCTTCAGCCTCTACCCTTGTCTACAATTTTGGCTTTCCAACTCAGAACCTCAGGAAGCCCGAAAAGGCCTCTGAAAATGTCTCATGCAGCACCTTTGTTTTACACGAGGAAACAAGAGCCCAGAGACAGGCAGGCTTTCCCCAGAGTTGCCCAATCCAGCCAAGTTTCCATACCCCAAAAGGGAGAAGACCAAGGAATGATAATGTCCGATGGTGGCCTAGTTCCTGGGTCCCTGTGATCCATTAAATCTAGTCCAAGCCTCCATATCCCACTGAGAACTTTCTAAGTCATAACAGCCTATTAAAGGCTCTGAGAAGTCCTGCAGCATAGAAGTCAGTTTTGCTTTGTTGAACCTCCATTTGTCAAGACTGCCTGACCAAAGATTCTTTTCCTAGTAATAACTACATTGTAAAGACAGCTGAAATGTGTGCTTACTGTATGCTTACTCTTTATAACCTTGTTGCAGTTAATTCCCATAACTAGCCTGGTGAGGTAGGTATTATGCCCATTTTCTTTTTTCTTTTTTCTTTTTTTAAGATTTTATTGATTTATTTGACAGAAAGAGAGAGAGATCACAAGTAGGCAGAGAGAGAGAGAAGGGGAAGCAGACTCCCCGCTCAGCAGAGAGCCCGATGCGGGGCTCGATCCCAGGACCCTGAGATCATGACCTGAGCTAAAGGCAGAGGCTTAACCCACTGAGCCACCCAGGCGCCCCCCATTTTCTTTTTGAGGCTAGTGAAACTCAGAGAGGTTAGGAGCTCTTCCCCAAGTGCACATGCTCACATTCATACATGTGTGCACACACACACACACACACACACACACACACACACACACACAGAGGCTACCCTGCCTCCTGTCACTGTCAATCTGCATTCCACAGAACTACTTTATAAAATAATGGTCTAAAGCAAGTAGCCAAGGCCTTTCCCATAAATTATTTCCTTAGTCTGCTAGCAACTGACATGGATCCAGGGTCGTCCGTCTCCCCGCATTACCAGCCACCCATTGGCTCTACACCAGTGAAGCCCTAGCTCACAGCCACCTCCTCAGGTCGTCATAGCTCCCGCAGGGCCCTCCTCCTCCACCAGCCATGGTGGGGCCTAAGCATGGTGGGGCCTAACCCAGAGGTTACATACTAGGATAAAGAGATCTTGCTCCCTACTTCCTTTAGACCTCACCCACAGGCCCCATTCCATCTGGATCTATTTTTAGAATTAGTTCCCATCTCCTGACTCCATGGAAAGGGGCCCCCAAATCCAGGGGAAAGGAGCAGGAGCAGGGGTCCAGCATGAGCTGGAAGGAGGAGGGCAGGTATCCAGAGACCACCCTCAGAGAATCCTCAGAGTCATCTGCCCACCAGGCTGCCAGGACCTGCCACCCTCCACCACCCTCTGCCAAGCCTAGGTTACCTAGGGGTTTTCCTGGAGCCTGGGGGCCGATGGCTTCCGCTGTGGGACTGGGCAAATTCACCAGATGCCAGGCACTGGGTGGCACTTCCACAGGTGAGGGTCACTAGGGGCGGGGCTTCCAAGGACTGGAGGTGTCTTGTGTGATGTCACCAGAGGGTGGGGCTAAAGGAAACCTCCACCTCTCCCTTCCCCCAACCATCACCATTCCCACACTGGTCAAATCCCAGTTAAATGTAGCCCTCCTAGCCAGGCCTCAGCTGCAGAAAGAAAGTCAGCATTACCCTCCACATGAAATGTCTGGGGAAACCCAGGGCTGGCTAAAAAGTTGAGACTTACCCAAGATTCACACAGCAAGACGGGCAAAGCTGGGCTGAGACCAGGTGACCAGGGACCGGTTGATGGATGTCAGGCACACTTGACCAGCTTCTGTCCCCTACTCACCAGGAATCATAATGGAAAGAAGTTAGAAATAAAGGAGAAAGGAGACACCATAAAGGCTCATGAAGGAGATGGACTTCAGATTCAGAAAAACCAGGTTTGACGCCTGCTTCCATCACATGCTAGCTGTGTGACCTAAGACAAGTGATTCACCTTCTCTGAGCCTTAGCGCCCTCATGGGAATTATACTATTATCTATAGCATAGATGGCTGTAAAGATTAAACTCATTAGAATAAAGTTGTAGCACAGTTGAGGGACTCAATAAATGATTGTTATTATTATTAGTTATTAATAGTAGTAGCAACTCATTGTTATTAATAGTAGTAGTATTTTAATTATCCCCAGCCTGAGTCGTAGTATTTGAAATATCCCCAGCCCTAGAGATTTGCTTGGCATCGTCTAAAAAAAACTGTCCTCTTTTAACCCTCTTTTTACCCAGAGGCAAAACAGATGACAAGCTTGTAGGGATGGGGCAGTAAATGGGCTTCAAAGTGGGAGACCCCCAGGTTTTACCCATCCCACTGAGTTCAGTGCACAAGGCAGGCCAAAGGCTACAGGGCTGGGGCACAGGGTGAATGAAGCAGACAGACTCCCTGCCCAGACAGGGCTCTCCCACACAAACGAAATGCCTGCAGGCTGAGGAAAGTCCACGGAGAGAAGGCACGTGGGTGGTGACCGTGCACCACTGGAGACAGCTGACGCTCCAAGGGAGGGTGTCTACCACTCACCTCAGGCCGGCTATTTCAGAGAGAAGCCAGGTCCCTATTTTCACGTGAGGGTGGGATTTCAAATCTGACACTCGTCGGCTGTGTGACTTTGCTTTTTAAGTCCCTTACCCTCTCTGAACCTATTTCCTCATTCATAATCGAAGGATAGTAATAGCCACCCCTTGGGCTCTTGTGAAAGCAAAACAAAGTTATAGATGCAAGCTGTTGGCTCCGGCAAAGCCTGGCTCTGCTCTTTTTGTTGGGTTCGAGTCCTGGCTCAGCCATTCAATCCCTGTGGGATCCTGGACAAGTCCATTCCCCTCTCGGCCCCGTTTCTCCAAATATCAAAGGAGAGAGTGAATTTACTGGTAACATCAAAGGGCGCTTCAGGCCCTGAGATGTTCCAATATTTGTTCCAAGCCGAGTGTGTGCCAGGGTCTAGAGCTTCAGCAGTGAACAAAGCAGTTAAGACACCTTCCTCATGGAACCGACAGCCCTGCTAGTAACAGCTAAGGGCAAGAACTAAGGGTATTAATACCCTGCCCTCTTGGAGCTTAATAGCCTAACTAAAAAAATGCCTATTATGAGTATTAATCAGTTATAATTCCACTTTCTCTCTCACCTCCATCTTGGCATGCAAAATATTCATTGTTGCTTCTCTGGGACCTGATTATTCAGCACACTCCCTTAAAGACAGCTTTATCTTGCCATAGAAGACAAAGTCTAACCTCAGATAAAAATAATAGAAAGGCAGGGGGGACGTCTGGCTGGCTCAGTAGGTAGAGCATGAGATTCTTGATCTCAGGGTCGTGAGTTCAAGCTGCGTGTTAGGCCTGGAGCCTACTTAAAAATAATCATCATCATCATAATAGTAAGGCCTGGCCCATGTTAAAACAAGAGTTGTTAGAGGTAAATGTTCTTGAAGGGTTCTGACAAGGATGATTTATAAGAGCCCAAATATTATCAATAAGATTAGATGCTAACATTAATAATTACAGTGGCTTGCTGTTTACGAAGAACTTTCACATATATTTCAACTCTCCCTCAAAGCAACTCTGGTCCTCCACATAAGCTGCTGTCACAGCCCAGGAGGCAGGATGGCCAGGCACAACATCTGACTCCCAAACCAGTGCTCTTGCCTTTCATCCACTGTAGTCAACTCCCAGGCATCCGGTGGGTGGCCACAGATTACACAAGCAAAGTTTTCATCCCTGGCTGGCCTCCCGATCTCCCAGCAACTGGGTCACCTCCCTCAATGCAAACCAATTCCCCAATTCGGCAGAATGTGTTTAAGAAAAAGTTCTTCCATTTCTTCCAAAACGGAACAGAATTTTTTTTTTTTTTTTGTAACCACACCCAGGGCCACCATTTGTGATTAGAATAGAATAAATAAGTCAAAGGAATTCTGTGGAACTCAGACTCACTAATGTTCTGAGGACAGGGACGAACCTGTAGGAGGAAGGCAGGCTCAGAGAGGTTGGGTGAGCTGGCTACAGTCACCCAGCACGGGATGGAAAAGGGACCCAACTTTCACCTCTGTGCAGCAAGGGCCCCTCTAGTCAGAGAAACTGAGGCTGGAGTGAGGCCGCCTCTTCCCAAGGGCTCTGAGGTGGCACAAGCCCCTTGAAGTGAGGCTGGAACCCTCTCCCACAGGAGCTAAAACATAAGGTCCTGGGACATCCAATCAGGTGCAGGCAGGCTCTGGGACTCCATCAAACTCTCAAACTCTCCAGCTGTGGCCTGGCCAGGCCCCTCACACAGGCCAGGCCTTCAGGGGCTGCCCCAGGGAAACCTCCGGGGGTCTTCAAAGGCTGCAGGCTTGGAGCAAATGCTATGGGGTGGTATGGGGCTCATTCCCCTTCCCCTCACTGGGGAGGGAAACCTCCATGCTTTCCTGACACCAAGACAGGCTTCCCCGTCCCAACCAGCCTAGATGGCCCCCGAGTGGGACCCTCTCACATTATCCAGTTCCAGGTAGTCGCACCCCTTGTACCCCTGGAGTCTCCCTACATTCTCCCGCAGTGGGAGCAGCGAACCCCTGGCCTCTCCTCTTCCTGGCCACCGTGGCCCTGCCCACCCTCTCAGATGCGTCCCATTCCAGCGGGTGCCCCAGCGTCCTCCCGCTCTCACCCTGGGGCGCCCCGGCTCCGGCTCCGCCCCCTGCGCGCGCGACCGCCGCCCCGGGAGCACCCCCTGCGCCCGCCGCCGGTCCCCCTCTCCCCAGCCCAGTACCTGCTGCGGGCCGGAGCGCGGCGGGGAGCCCGACCGCCTAGGACCCGCGGCCCTCGGCGTCCCGGGCGACCTGCAGGCAGATAAAGGGGCGGCCGGTGGCCCCGCCTCGAGGAGGGCGGGGGACGGGGCGGCGGCGGCGGGCGGGAGGGGAGCCGCGGCACCGCCGGCCTCCCCGCCCCCGCCTCGCCCACTTGTTGCCCGCGGAGGCGGGGAGGTGGGGCTCCCCGACCCCGGCAACCACGGAGTTGTGGGCGTTCCTATGGCCATCGTGTAGAAAGATGCGGAGACCCAGGCCCGGAGGGCAGAAGGGGTTGCACAAGTCCCCCAGCTGGGCGGCGGCGCTGCAGAGGCTCCAGCCGAGCGGGTCCCGCTTCCGCCGACGGGAAGCACCAGCTCTGGAGTCCGAACGACCGACTGGCGGGCACCGGGCGAGTTGTAGCAGGAGCGGGGACAGGTTTGCCAGCGAGAGCCCGCCGCCCAGCCCCGAAGCCACCGGGATCTCCACACTTGCCCCGCGCACTTCTGGTCTCGATGGGCCCGGCCTTGCCCATTTTCATCTCTCTGCCGGGGAAGCCCCACCCCGGCTCTGCACCCCTGTCTTATTCAAGATTCCACCTCAGCCCTCTCCGTGGGCCGCTTCCCCTGGGCGGCCGGCCCAAGGCATGGTGTTTGAACCTCTGTTAAAACACCACTTCCTACCCCCTAGTGTAACATCTCCCCCCAGAAGTGGGAGCCCCCAAAGGGTGAGGGATCCCTGCATAGAGAAGGCCCTCAGCAAAGACTGACTCCTCTGGACCTGGACCAGACAGAGTGGGGAGACACTTCCACCCCCATCTGGGGCACACACAGCCTGATGGATGCGGAGCTAAGAGGGAACAGTCTAAGAGGGGACACTGCTCTGCCCTCGGGGAGCCCCACGTGTGGGGCATGGGCATGATGACTGGATTCAAGTCCTGGTGCTACCCCCAACTCACCATGCGACCTTGGGCAAGTCTTTTTCTGGGCCTCAAGTTTACTACCTGTGAAATGGAAGTAATAATACCTGACAGGTTGTTAGGAGGATTAATAAAACAGTGGGTATGAAGGTTCTTTGTCAACTGCAATGAATACTAGAGGAATGTATATTTCCTTGATATATTATAACAAAACATGCATAATCATAATCATAATAACCCTAAGAATTAGTTAAATCTCTATTATCCATGTGGATAGAAAAAAAGTGGCATAGAAGAGTCAATCATTTAGAGCAGGTAGGGTATGGGAAATTAAAACCAGTAAGGACATTATGGAAATTATATTCTATATGATGGAATATATTCTATCATAGTGAATACAAATTTAAAACTTGGAAGGTGACTTAGACTCCTCTCGCAGTTTTTGAACACCTGCTCTGTAATGGACATGTTTTTAAAGCTACAGTTAAAAAATATAAAAATCAAAAAATAAAGTTACGGTCTTTTAAGCTCTTGCTATGTATACTGAATAGTTGCCAAGTTATCTCCTTTGAGCCAGACAACCCTATTAACCCCTTTACAAACTGGGAAACTAAGGATCAGAAAAGGGACATGGGACTGTTATATTATCTCATTTAACCTCATCTTTTCCTATAAATTGAGTGTGAGGACCCCCATTTTACAGACAGAAAAACTGAGGCCTGGAGGGGAGAAATTATATATTCCAGGTCACATAGCTCCCGATGTACTCAGGCTCTGAGAAATGGATCTGGAGGTGTGCCTAGCGGAGAGAAAAGTCACTTGAACCTGAAATTCGACTATGGATATTTGGGAGCTGAATGATAAAAATTTTTTTAAGTAGGAACAGTGATCAGGTATGGAGCACTTGGCATATGCGCGCCCTAAGGCAAAGCCCCTTCCGTGCACTGTAAGCCCATAAGGATGTGGTTTCCTTATCTCATTTCGTGGATGGGGAAACTGGTTCTGGAAGATACTACTTGCCCAAGGCCACCCAGTTGGCTAGAGGCAGGCCTGAATCCCAGCCTTGCTCTTATCTGCTACCCGGTACTGGTAACAAGGAGTGAAGCTGTGGGGCCAGGACAATTCCTTCCCTACCCAGCTGTGCCCCCTTTTCCAGCCCAGGGCAGCTCCCACCCTTGCCTTTCCCAGCTCAGACACCTGAGTGAGGCCAAGTGACTCCATGGCTCCAAGAGCCCAGAGCTCTGAAATCCTTTGAGTCCAGACCCTAGAAGAGGAAGGTGGGGAACCCACGCAGTAAGCTGTGTGTCATCCAGCTGCCCTCCCAGATGCTGGGTTCAGCTGTTGGAGGAACAGGGTCTCCAGGGAGACTAGATTCCTAGGAGGCCCTAAAG